AAAATCCGCTAAACGATGCCGCATCCCCGATCCCTGTCGACATCCGCCGGCTCGATCCCGATACCCTTGGAACACCACGGTACTCTCGCGGCGAGCGGGTTGTTGCTCCTCCTCGTTGCGATGAATAACGCGCAGGGCTTCGCTGCGGAACTTCCCACTCGGTTTCCTCTCCACCAGCGCTTTGATCACGGAACAGCGGCCAGCTACTGTTGAGACGGTGCTGGTGCGATGGCCTCCGCTCTTGAGAAGGGTGCCCGTCTGTCGCGGCGTTAATCGGGCGTTTGCGAATTGTGTCTCTACCTCCTGTAGGGTCCAACGTTGGAGCAACACCAACGACGACGTTGTCACCATACCGGATGAATTCCTTGTCTGCCGCCTGGTTCTCACCTTCGCACGACAGCAGGTCTGAGCTTCTCCGCGACTCGCTCAAAGGCGTGAGCCTTCCCGCATCGCGCATCGACGACGATGACCGTTGCTGCCGGCTACTCCGGTCGAGAAAGCCGCCAGCTACACTGGATGCGTCTGTCGCCAGTGGAGACAAATCGACGCTGTCTAGCGCCGCACTGCTGGAACGCTGGCTACTGGCGTGTTCCGGTGGCCCCTGGGTCGAGAAGGACAGCATGCTGCCGAACGCTGACCCTTGCTCGCGTGCACTGCTACCCTGTTCGGGTGAGGACAGGGAATCAGCCGATACATCTGAATCCATCTCCTATGTTGCCGCACAGAGGGTTCTCTGCCGTTCAAGCTTCTTGGCGATCCTGTATGTGACTCTGTGCACGGATGTCCCTACTCTTTCAGACACGAGCATGCACCGCGTGCGTTGTCACGCGCGATGTACTCCCTGCAACCGGCGATCTTTGGACGGGGTGTCGATCACTATTCCAGGGCCCGGTTTTGGCCTAACCTCAGCCGCGCTGTTTATATAGGTACCATTGCGTAGGCTGTAGACAGGATGTGTAGAATGTAGACGTTCGGAGGGCGACCGGTCGCTGGCTGGTGGCAGTGGCTGGTAAGACGCCCCATGGGTAAAGATCGCTGGGGATTGCGTGGAATCGACCAATGAGTCGGTCAGGGGGGCAAGGTACAAAAAATATGCGTTTGTGTGCCCCCCGCAACATACACTTGCGACGCTCCCCGGCCGGGGCCCCCTACTGCGCATCCTACGTACGTCCCAGGAAGCCACTGCGCATCGTCATTTGATTTTAGTGTGAATCGGGGCCAAATGCCAGCAATGCAGACTTTTGGGGCACACAACTGGTTCTGCGCCCCGAAAGTTCCAGCGCAGCTTTGATTCTCGAAGATTTTTTTCATCACCACCCAGCAAGCGTCGATAGCAACACCACGCACAACAGCAGCGGACGGTGGCGCAACGGCGGGTCGCCAGCCTGGTTCATGTCTGCAGCTCCCGGGCCAGATGATGATCGCGGCGGCCATGGCAGGGCAGACAGACACAGGTCAGACAGATATGAAGCGCCAGCAAACAAGATGTTCACCTGTCACATGTGTCTCAGGCACGTGAACAGCGGCCAGAAGAGGATATCTATACGGGTTCCTCCTGATCAGAATCCACACGGGTTCGATCATTTTTGTGCGGATTGCGATCGATCGGAGGACAGCCTGCAGCGACGAGTTTCGTATGATTGTCATGGCACAGTGGGCAATGTAGGCATATCTGGGCGAACGCCTAGTTCCAGTGGTGGTAGCTCAGAGAACCGGCTGCAGCAAACAACGATGTCCTCACAAGTAGCAGCGGCAGCGGCCGCTGCCGCCGCTGCCGCCGCAGCAGCAACAGCAACAACAACAACAACAACAACAACAACATCGGCAGCACCAGTCGCAGCCGCTCAAAGGCCGCCTGCAGGAGGAGCGGAGGAACCGTTCAGAGCGGCGGCGGAGGTGGGGGAGGCTGCCCATGACACCGCGGTTTCTTCAGGGCGGTCCAACACCGCAGTCGGATCTGGATCGCTTGACTTGAGAGGGCTGGGCACCACGCCAGCAGCAGGAAGAAACATGAACGGAGAGGCCATGGAGGAAGTAGAGTCTATTGGGGAGGAGGAGGAAGAGGAGGAGGAGGAGGAGGAGGGAGACGCGAATGAAGGAGACCGTGAGCGATGGTCCAACCGTGAGTTGCAAGCTGCCCTGGCGATGCAAGCTAGCAGTGTCGTGGGTCTAGCTCCCAAGGTGTACGAGGATGGTTCGTTTAGTCGCCCAGACTGGATGGCTCCAAGTTTGAAGTCGCCCAGGTCTATTGCGGCAGCGTTTAGGCAACGTTTCCCGGAAGCCCCTATATGCCGGCCGGTAGACAGCCCTGAGAAGCGTGCCTTGGCAGCGATGCAGCCGTCGGCAGCCACGGAAAAGATGAAGTCGCGAGCGATGGTTGGAGGAAGTACGAACCGGGGCCTCCTGAAGCAACTGTTGAAGGAGGCGGCCATGGCCGTTTTCGCAACAACGCACGTTGTGTTCGTTGTCTACCTACTCGAAGTGGTTTTCTTCGACGTTTTGGTCAAGATTCCGGATTTTCAGGCAAGCTTTGTAGTACATGAAATACAGCTCTGCAGACACGTTGCTCGCGCTAGGTCGCCTTCTCCAATCCACATCCACACAGGTGGGCAAGAGGAGTGCCCGACGAGAGGCCCGAGGGTAAGAACTCTTCCGTTGTATCATTCTTGTTTCAGGTAACGACCTACAGCGGGTCAACGTCCGTGAGGATGATCTGTCCTGGATGCAGGTCGAACACGTTTGTGAAGCCTCCCGGAGTATCAGGGCACGGCTGGAGTAATGCGAGCGCCACGAAGGTCAGCAGACGTCTGTGGTGTAGGAGCAAAATATCTGCATCTCAAAAAATTTACGTTGATGTTCCATATTGCAACCTTTTCTGCAACACTGCAGAGTCGTAGCTGCCGTTATAAACAGATTGTTTCCGTTCTCTCCTGTTTTTTTCCCAAAACGTCCCGGATGGTGACCGACTGTACCTACATTTTTACGTGAAGACAACAATAAATACAACAAAAAACATTTCGGCTTGCGTACTCTCCCACACGCAATCTCCCGCATTACTTTGCAGATCCGAGCGATCCCCGATGTAGGCAGGGTGGTGGTTCCATTGTCTGGCAGGTACGCCTGCCGGAATCCCAATTGCCCTCTGGTGTTGGCGAGTGCGAAGAAGGCAGCCAAAAAAAAAAAGGTGGAGGTTGCGGATGACGGGTGGGATGAGGCCACCACCCAGAAGTGGTGCCCAAACGGCGCAACCTTCACCACCCAGGACGACAGGTATGCTTTCGATTTCGTGTGGTATTTGGGCTATAAAGTCGGGGAAGCAAGATTGTGTGTAAAAGTTGGAAATTTCGAATTCTACGGTGTATTTACGACGCCTTCACCCTCGCTTGTGGGCCATGAAATCGGCAGATACATGCAGGTGTTGCCTGAGGAGGTGGCGTTGCGTCTACCCTTCCGATATTTCAGGCAAAGTGGCTCATCAGAGATGTTGCTGGACCAAGTGAGGGCGATGGAAGGCGACCTTCAGGTGCAACCTTGTGGTACTTCTCTTCGTTGTTTTACGCTTTGAGGAATCGTTCTTTTTTTCCCTCGCGAGTATCGCTGTGACAGATGTGGCCCCCTGACAGGTGTTCGTCCGCCGTCTACATCCTGTCCATTTTTTTTGCCGTTGCTTTCTCCGGCCGCAAAGGTGTATCGCAGGGCGTTAGCTGCAGGCGACCAAGGTCGGGAGTTGAGAGACATGAGGAGATACATGTCGTTTGCCGAGAAGCACGGGGATGGAAGTTTGTGGCCAGGGTGGAAGTTCGTTCGCGGGACTCTCGTCGGCACCCCGTCCGTCGCCGTGTTGAACACAATCTACAACGCCGGGCATGATGAGGTGAGGAGGAGGAAGACGTTGCTAGTAGATGCCACGCATGACTACTTCGTCGCCACTGTTTTTTTCTGTTGCTTCCTCGGGTGTTGGTGCTCCTAGGTTTTCAGTTTTTTTTGGTTCCGGCAAGGCCATGACCACGATGACGCATTTTTGGCTGGAACAGGAAAAGGACTACATGAGGCGCGTGATTCAAGCCGAGTGCGAGGGCCAAATTGTCAACATGGATGGCACGTGGCGCATCGGTTTGAGGGTGCCTGGAGTACCCGCTTGCCTTTATTTCTTGTTGGGGGAGAACGCCAAGGTCCACGACTACGGAGCTATCACAAGCGAAAGCAAGTCAGAGCTCCGTCCACTTTTCATGAGGTGCGCTGTCTTGAAGTTTGGTGCCAAACAAACGGTCGTGCCTCTGTCGAAAGCTATGATTGATGGGTATTTTTTGTTCATTGGGTATTTCCCGAAAGAATCGACCTCCTGTTGAGCCTTGGTTTGTGTGCCGCGAACAACGCCGCAGGTACGCGGATAGACGAAGGCGGAACGGCACGTTGCCCACACTTCAGTACCTGTACGACGACATGTGCTGCAAGAACGCTGTGGACGTGACGGAGCCATGGATGAAGTCGATTTTCACGGGCTTGTCGCGAGCGGCGCTTTCAGATTCTTTCCACTTCGGACAGGTACAAAATTCCTTCATGACGTTGCAACAGGAGGAAATGTTGATGTTTTTAATCGTTGTTCACTCATTCGTTTGATAGCGCACCAGACATCGTACTGAAGGTCTCCTTCGTTTTGCATCCCATACGTCGTACCTGAACCACTTTTTTGCCCCGTCGCGTGCATCCCCTCGTTCCACATTGTTGGTATTCTACTGCGGTTTTCCGTTGACACCCTCTCCGTAGACTCTTGTGGGTGCAACTACATCCAAAGTCCACCCACGAAGGGCTACGTTCGCGGCGGGAGTTGGACAGATTGTCCGCCACCGGTACCAACCTGATGTTGATGAGGTTGTGGCGTACTTGCAGCGTGAGAATCGGGGGTTGTCGAAGGTAGACGCGGAGGTACTGGCTAAAAAGAGAGCATGGTCAGCTTGCGTGAGGACTATTTCCCGACCAGCCGACGTAGTGGAGAAGGAGTTGGTGCAGTTCGTGCAGGCGCACGCAAAGATGGATGCCGACGATGTCGCGAGGGGGGGAATTCCGCTGCTGCGCCCGGATGCGCCCCCTGGAAAATCAGGTCCAACAGGCGCGATGGCAGCGCTCGAGAAAATGCGCAGGTGCCTCAGGAAAGGATGCGCGCAAGACCCGTTGGGTGTGGATGACATGTGAGGAAACCTTGCAAGTACGACGTTAACGCCTTTTTTGCTGGTCCTTGTTTGACTGCTGCTTGCTGCTACGTTTCGCGAGTGTGTTGTTCATGTCTTCTCCACTCGTGTCGCCATTGTCCCTACTGTACGCAGGTACATACCTCGTGGGAGGGGGCCGAAGACAAACCTCATGAGGTGGTCCAAGAAAGGTGGAACTGGGAAGAACGAGAATTTCCACGGCGGCATCAATCGTCTGGTCGCAGGCGTGGCTCGCATCGGTGTGGAGGCGTGCGACGCGAGGCTTCTGCAACGTGTTTGTCGTCACAACCTAGACATGGACCGCAAGCTTGGCAACACCAGCAAGCAGTCAACTCGTTGGCCTTGGAGGGAGCGCGTGGTGAACAAAGCGGCCTCGGGCATCCTCGCTTCGCTCCCGTTCCCGAAGGCGCCTCCCGACCCGAAAGTAAGCCCCATCCGTAGCTGTAGCTGTAGATGCAAGCTTGCTTTTTGTGGTGGTTGTCGTCGATGTACCTTGCCGTGCACTTTCGATGCTGTACACAGCACGACGTATGTGATGCCAACTCCCTGCTGTTCGTGTGCCGGTGTCAGATCCCAACGAAGGACTTGGAACCGATGGGGTTCGAGTTCCACACCGCCAGGAAAGCTGCCGGTCGACGAGAAGCCATGAATGCCGCAACGAGGATAGTTGCAGAGCGTCGGGGCAACAACCCCCGCTCTTCGCCGTCGATGACGGCAGGAAGTGCCGCAAGGGAGGGGCCGGAGACGGCGCCGTTGCCACTACCGACAGCAGGAGGCCGGATTGGAACGGCGGCGGCTGGGGCGGCGGGGCCTGCGGAGGGGCCTCCGGCAGACGGGGCGGCAGGGCCGGGGCCGTGGCCTGCGGCGGGTGCGGGCGCGGCGCCGGGGGATTCGCCCTCGCCATCATCGACGCAAGAAGGCCGGGTGGGAACGGCGGTGCCGGGTGCGGGCGCGGTGCTGGGTGCGGGTGCGGCGCCGTTGCCGACCATGACAACGACGGGTGCCGCTTTCGCCAACTATGGGGGGGCGCGCAAGCTACATAGTAAACGTCCCACCATCGAGGGACAGAAGTCTGTCACCCCGACAACCGACGGCGAGCTGGATGCCTTTGCCCGTTGTCTTGCGACAGCAAGGGCTCAAGGCCGAGGGGAGGTGATGGAGGAGACGGCGCGACTGTACAACACAGAGTTTTTCACCCAGCAGCTTGACCGGGACGCGCCAATAATTCTCCGTGGACCCACTTCAGCGCAAAAGCTGCGAAAAAAATCAACGACAACGGCCACGGCTAAGAGGGCCCGACAGGTCTCCGCAGACTTCGCAGCTGTGCAATCGGCGGGCAGAACGGCGTCGTCTTGTTCGACCTCTCCTTCGAACTCTTCTTCGACCACGTCGAGATCAAAGCGCCGTCGTGACGTCAGACCTGACAGGGAAAATGCCGTTGCTAGAGTCGCGAACAGGGTTCCTCTGACGATAGAAGAAATAGAGACACTTCCCGACGCCGTGGCTATTCCTTACCTCTCGGATATGGATCAGCCGACGTCAGGCAGGGTTGCTGCCAAACGCGAGAGGTTGAAGAGCTACTTCCGAAACCACAACCTCACATCGTACACACCTGTGGGCGGGGCAAACAAGAAGGCCGCGGGTGCGGCAGTTACAGGACCCCCTAGTGGGCACCGGGCGATCTAGAACGGCTGGGGTGTAGAATTCTGTTTCTGGTGGCAAGGGCGGGCTTTCTCATTCTGCACGAATGTTGTGTGTTTCACTGCTGCTCCTTCACGTAATATTATTGCGGTTGCCAAACCGGCGTGTTGTGGGGGAGGTAAAGTGTGCAACCTCGAAATCAGATGCGCCCATACTGCATTTGTGTGCTAACCACAGTGTATCAGGTACATGTGTGCTACATAGGCACACCTACATGTTCGCCGATCAGTCCTCTTCTGGTCATTATATGCCGTGGTTCCCCGCCATGCGGCGATGACGCATGTTCAAGAGACACACATCATGCACTCCGGGTTGTTTTTGCCGGCGCCAAGTACGATCGGCACGCCTCACCTACAGCTGGTTAGATATATTTCCTCTGGCAGCATCACGTAAAGCTCTGTGTGTGTGAATAAGCGCGCACACGCCCGTCAACGAGTGCTGTAACTTCGAGAAACCGACGGTCGTGCCCAGTCTACCCGAGGGAAAATACCCACATCAACGGCATGACACCATCTACTGAGCACAAGCGCTCCTGTATTGTTCAATTGTCACCCACGCAGCAGCGGTACACAGCCATCGACGGCAGCACACAGCCATCGGCACACAGGCACACACCACACAAGCGCACAAGCGGCAGCCGTTGCGTTTTTTTATGCTTATATATATCATATCTGCGATAATTGCAGAGAGATTTCAACCAACTCTTTCGGCGATTTTATGCGGCGAGATCAAAGTGTTTTTTTTTTTTGGCCCCAAATTTCGGGGCATGGGGGTGGCCCCGAAACTACTTGAAAAAAGACTTTGGGGCGGATGCGCAGTCGCCGATTAGCTGTCTACCTTATGGCCCTGCGCTCTCTCTGTTTCTCCGACCATGTGGCGATCAACGTGGCAACCGTGCGTTCGATTGATGGCAGCTCGAGGTTCGTGAAAACATCGTTGCAATGTTGCTACAGCTCGAGAAGCGAGTGCCTCCGCGTCGGAGTTCATTTCAACACCAAGTTGACGTTGATCACACCGCACACGCCGCACCCGCGCCGCAGGTCCCTCCGGCAGGCTTGGCTCCCCTACAAGACCAGCTAGGCTTCTGTCGGGACAGGCTGACTCTCTTACGGGAACACCCACTACTTGCAAAGCACCCAGGATTGGCGTACGGGTGAGAGCGCCCAGCGCCTGAAGTGACCCACAGCTGCCGCGGAGATGTTGTCAGGACGCTGCTGTTGCAGCGGACATGACGAGCGTCACAGAGATCTTTGAATCGCGCTTGTACACCACCGTGTGCTTAGCTGGCAAAATCTATACATATGTGTAGGTGTTCTGATAGCGAAATCTCTCTGTCCCCTTTGTATACGCATATTTTGTCCCAGCAGTCAGTGTTGATCGAACCTACAACACTCCCCGTGAGGTGCACATATTTGCGGACCATCTCTACCACTGCTGCACCGAACATGGTTATGCGCATACCCCTCTCCCTGCGGCTGAAAACAGCGTCGACATCTCTCGGCTGTACCAGACCAACACACCATGCACGTCCAACACACTTGGCCCATTGACTGAACAATACGCCCCACTCAAACGTACCTTTGTATGTCCAGTGAATTAGACGTGCCTGTCGACCGGGAGAACATGTACTGCGTTTTGATCAACTCGCTGCTCGTCGTCGCCAGGATGCCCTTTGTACTTGGATCTACATGTGAAGGTCATACGTGACTATAGGACCGCTTGATCGCCGCCATGTTTCGCCCACGGGCGAACCTTATAGCGACTTTCCTTGCACGCGTTTCACCAGGAGGCGAGCGACACCCTGGATCTGATCGACCAGCTGCTGTGGGCCTTGGGTCCGGCAGATTCGGGAGAGACTGGCTTCGTGTTCTTCGACTTGGACGAGACCCTCATCACGCGAGACACCTGCCTCGTCGATGGTCTCGGTAGCACAAGGTTAGCGACCGATGGTCATCGACGCCGGGCACCCGTGTGGCAGCTGCTGCTGCCAATGCCAACGGCCCTTGCTGCATCGATTGGGACTTGCACATCCCTGGCGCTTCCACCGTGGTTCGACGTAGCTGTTGTTGCTGCAATCACCCACGTGTTTCCCGAAGTTCCCTGCCCCCCTTTTGACCGTTGGCGGCAGCGTAACAGTAGCAGCTACATTCTTCGTGAAAGCTGTATTTTACCTCTGGTTGCGCCGTACCGTGCGTTTCTTGCTGCCCGTTCTTTCGACGTTCGTGATTTTTAGCGCGTTAATGGCGAGGCTGGAGGCAAAGCTGGGGCCCTCAAGCGAAACCCTTCGCGTCATCCGCCAGGAGATGGAGAGGGACTACTACAACGCAGATCTAAGGCTCGTTGATCCGCTGTTAGCGAGGTGCGAGCACCCGTCGTGCCTCTCACGCGCATTGGGCACGTGGTGTCAACGAATAGCCTAAGAGGGGCTGGGTGACATCGTCCGAGATCTCTGCAGCGCAAAATCGCGCACAGCAGTAGTAGTTGTGTTGCAAGGCCGTGGAGAGTTCAACAGTTCTGCACGCCCCCCACGCCCATGCGCTGAGAGAGCTGTGCCCGACAGGTGTTATGACTGTGTCAGGAATAAGAACGTCTAACCGATGGTTCTGATAATTATCCACGCGCTTCGGCTACACCGAACAAGCACACCTCGCCCCCGCCGCCGCCAACACGCTTTCAGAGTAATTCGGTCGCTCAAGATTCAAGGGCATAGCGTGTTTGGCTTGACTTCCAACGCGTTGGATCCTGTTCACGCACCGCGGATCCTTGAGACTCTGGCCAAGTACAAGATTAGGTGGGGTCTGACGCCTACGCCTTCATGGATTAAATTGACGCTTCTTCTGTATGCCAAGGCCACAACCACCGCCACCATCTGATTCTCACGGGGCGCACGCTGATCGCTTGTGAACATACGCCCTCGTTGGTTACCGTCCGAAGAACATGCAAGTTGGTGCTGACAACGAAATCAAGGCAATTGAAAGGGGCTAGCGCAGAACCTATCGCTGAGAGAGACTTTGCGTGAAATGAAATTCAGTACATTCGATGATGCCTTGTACATCTGTGGGCGTCTTTGAAAGCCCTCCGTTCCAGCGACCTGGGTATGCGTTCAGCATGCCACCTGTTTTGGTGCAGTCCCTTCCAATATCCACCCGCTATTGAACAGTTCTGACCACGTCGGTGTAAACCATATTTTCATTCTGTCGGGTGCGTCCCCCTTGCCTGTCCGCAACGTCGACGAACAGGTTCTCTGCGCCAGACGTAAGAGGCGAATTGCCGAGGAGCGGGGCTCTAATGGTCGATCATCCCGTGTCTAGAGGGATAATCTTCGGGGATAATCAGCAGGTTCGCCGTAGTTGGCGCTTCGCGTTCTCCGCTTGACAGTGAAATGTGTTTACCGCTTCACTCTCTGTTTTTATCTCATGTATACCTGTCGCTCGCACTTGCTGGTCGCCGCTTACGTGCGCAGTGTTGCCGTCGGCGCCGAGCAGTCTTACCCTGGTTTACATAGCAGCACAGGAGAATTCCTCTGCCGTGCATTCCTTCAAATCGCCCCGAGCGGCTTCAGCATCCCTCTTTGTCTGGTCGACGTCCCAAGCCGACTTTTGTGTCCCCACGAGAAAGCGCTTAAGAAACAGTACCACGCCACCGCTATTCGAACCCACGACGTTGACCATCCGTAGGGTACCATTTGTGGTCCATTTATTCTGTTTTTTGGATCTGGCTCTGTCGCCTGCAAGCTACATTCAGCTGGCCGGATGTTGTTTCCGCCGCTCGCTGCTTCTGTCGCCAAGAACGTTTTTTTTTTGCTCTCTTGTTCGCAGGCGGTCTCCCACGACAAAGGGGAAATCATAGCCGAGTACGTCGGGCTCCTCCTCCACAACGCCGGCCGCGTGGTCTCAGAGCACGTAGGGGAGAAAACAGCTGGAGACGCAGCTAGAGGAGGGCTGTCGGAACCGGGAGGCGTGAAGGTCGGCGACGGCGAGAGCAGCGGCGGTAGGACAGCCCTCGCCGGCTCGCTCTCCCCCAGGCGGCCTAGAAAATGCGTCCTGGTCGACAACACATCCAAAAAGTGCGAGAGGGCGGTGGAGACGTTCGCGCGGCACGCGGCAATGGCCGGAGGCGGGCTGGAGCTACACACGCTCCACTTTACCGAGGCCGAGAACATGGTGGATTCGCCCGAAGCACTTAGACAGCTGCGGGTAATCCTTGCGCGACTGCAAGAGCGAGGGCTCATCGGCGTTGACCTTATCGCGGAGGACATATTGGTGACACCGGTAGGGGGCGTCCGTAGAGGTGCCGGTGACAAGGTGAAGGCAGCAGCGGAGGTGGCATGTGTACCAGACGGAAAGAGTGGCCGTAGCGGATGATTGCAGCGTGAATCAAAGAACATGATCGCCGGCGTGTCAGGCGCGATATGGTAGGTGTTTGGTTATGGTTGCGGTGGACGCGTCCAACACGCAATAAGTGCGATACGGTGCATTGGACAGATGTCTTCCCCAACTATCGTCGTTTTCTTCACAGTGTCGTGTCACAGCAGTGTCGTGGTTCCGTGTTTCTTTCGTACGAGAACTGTTGACGAGTAAGCAATGGATTGAAGTGTTGGTGTTGGATGGTTGGTACGCATGTGTTGAAAATGTGGTGTTGTTGATGTGGTGATTGTGGGGGCGCAAAGGTGGATGGAAAACCTCTAGTGTGAAGAGAACAGAACTAGCTGTTGCAATCTGGTGGCCCACCGCAAACGTAGAAGGGTGGTCATACAGCAGCACCACAGGACAGCAGTCTCCATGAATTGCGTTTTGGTGACGGTGTGTCGTTGTTTCTATCTCTTGTCGAGACCCTCTGCAGGTAGCGTTCGCCGCTACTTCGGGGGTATTGTTAAGGTTGCTTCCCGTCGTACGTCGTAGGAAGCATCACCTTCGACACAACCCTGGCAGGTGGCGTGTGGCTAGTCCCATACATTTGTGTGCGTGAATCACCCCGCCCGAAGGTTCGAATTGAACCGCGGGACGGATCTACGTGTCGGCGATACGCCAGGAGCATGGGCTTCTTGTAGTAGAGCATCTCGGCACATTCGTGATGTCAGTCTGTTGGTGCATGTGGTGTGATGTCTGTTTTGCATGGCGTACAAGTCCCTTACGCCTGTATGGCAGTGTACGATACGTTGGTTTGGAGAGGTTTGTTTGCCTTCCTGTGCCGTGTGAGTGTATTCCTCTTATTTTTTTATTTTTTTTCGCGTTTTGGGTTTGAATCCCTCACGGTCTCTAATATAGCACCTTTCACAACAATTCTTGGGGTTTTGTAACATGTGCGGGGGTGTTCTGCGCCGTAGGGACGCATATACAGCACAAGAGAATCGGTGGGTGGCGGGGTAGCAACACCCCGCAGCTCCAGGTGATGGGTACATACCAGCACTCCCAGTCATGTGCGCATCACCAGCGATGGGAGCAGACGGCTTGATACGGGACGTAATGTCGAACACAACGCTACATCGACAATCGCAGACCGTCTGGGACTGCCTGAGGGAAAGGTTCTCACTACTTTCTTTCTTTTGTCTTTGTCTTTGTTTGCAGAAAAGGAAGAACGGTCAACGAAGGCCCCAACGTACCAGTCACGAACTTATCTCGTTTGTTTTCCTTTCCTCGCGGTCATCTCAGGCAGAAACTTCACCAATTCCAAGTAATGTGTGTTTCACAATAGTGGGTCACACCTTACTCGTCGACACACCAGAACAAATCTCACTGGACGAGCACCATGATTTTTCACGTTTGCAATAACATGACGTGCGACTTTCACGTATACCACTGCGTGTGCTTCAGGGGGTGGTGTGTGACGACCACACCCGCCTGCTTCTCCAGGCGCTCCCTGTGCCTGCAGACATTCATATGCGCAAGGGGCGGGACCGGGCGGCGGGGAGGGGGGGAGGGGGACAAACGAAAAAAAGGGAGTTTTACTGACGTGTACTAGCACTACGAAAGCTTGTCGATGGCGAGCGTTCAGCATGGGATTCACTGGGTAGGAGCCGTTGATGTCCCGTCGTGTCAACGCAGGTCGTGGGTGCGTACCCCCACACCACATACATACGCCGACGTTGCAAGAACGATGCTGGGCGCATTGAGGCCTTGATGCAAGCGCTCTAATCTGCCCTTCCTCTTCCTTCGTCTGGCCGTAAGATGTTCAACAGATCGAGCAGGTAGGGAGGGGGGATTTTGTGGCGTACACGTGCGGGCGCACACAAAGCTGCACAGTGGGTGTTCCAAAACCATTATTTTGTGCCGTAAACTATTAGACACCGCTATGTTTGTCCTCATGACACCATAAGTCGCACTTGGATCGACAACCGCGGGGTGTTAGAAGTCCGCAGAGGAGGAAGGTTGCAGCGGTGCTCATGAAGAGACATCATCTTCAGTGACCGGGAGTGAGCAGCAAAGAGCAAAACCCTCATGAAACAGGCTGGGTGCTACTGCGCAGTTTTGAACGCCGGTCGACGGTCACAAAGAGATTTTGGACTGAGAAGGAAAAGGGCCTCGGTATGATCGAGACCCCATAAAGGCGGTACACCCCAAGCCATCCCGGAAGGTAGAATAATCCAACAGGCAAAACAGATCCCAGAAACTCTCACCGTCTCTCGTATGCCTCCATCTGCTTCACCCTAAGATACTCTTCCTGCTGCTCCCTCTCCGCTCGGGCACGGGCGCCCGCCATCTGCTCCCTGAGTTTGGCGGTGTTGTCTAGCAGCTCCTGCGCCCCGAAACGAGCGTAGGGGACGTGTCACAAAGTAGTGCTTCAAACAAGAAAAATAGAGTGGCGAGAGTAACATTGCAATGGCGGGCGTCGATGGTGCACAGGGTGACGCAACTCACGCACACGAGGCAGACGAAGCGGGAGGTGATACTTTGTCGCCCCCAATGCAATGAACTCGTTCAGCGCAGTTTAGGTTCTTGCCGAACTTCCTTCCCGACACCGTAACACATGCGCTACACTCAATACTTCTGAATAGCAACTTTAATTCACGTGTGTCTTGATCCGCATAGAAGGAAATATGCGTATGTGTCGCACGCACGTCTCCTCTCTCTATCTTCCCGTCGAGGCGCCACGCCCCACGTATCGCCTTCAAACCGACTCGAGCAAGAAACATCTCGCACACCTTCGTCTCAACTAATCCGTACCAGGACATCACGTTTTCGCACAAAACGCTGTAGTCTACCATATTCCACACATAAAATTTACCTGGCGTTTGCGCATTTCTTTCTCCCTCTCCCGCTCTTCCTCCGCCAGGAAACTCTCCCTGTCGAGCCTTGCCTGCTCCAAGTCGGTGGCGAGCTGCTCGTCGTCGCGGAGCGCCTTGAGGCGGATTTGCTCCTGCCGACCACGGTGCACCTGATGCAGACACGAATGACGGGAAAAATAGGACGTGACCAAAAGGATCGACAGGTGATGGTTTGGACAAGATGGGGATATTAAATTGTTGTTGTTGTTGTTGTCTTCACATCAAATCCATGGATGGGAGAAACAGGCGGACAGGTATATAGGTGGACGGATGAGAAGCATCACAGCTCAGCAAAGACGGACCGATAGATCGGAAGAAATCTGCAGGCACGACCGCTACAAACAGATGGGCGCAAGGAAGACAGCTTTGACAGGCACATGGGTGGACGGGTGAGAAAGGATGAGGAGTGGTCACATGGGCAGATCCGCGGATCCACACACGTCAGGGGGTTCGGAGACAGGTCGGGCGACCGGGATTTGGACAGTTCCGAGTCTACAAAACCGTTTGGCGAAACAAGTGTTCCGAGGTGGTTGGTAGAAGCTGTTAGTAATTGCTTTGAGGTGTTTGTCACAGCTGCAGAATACAGTTTTGTTGTTGACAACTTCTCCTGCCTTGTTCGGGAAAAGTAGTTCTGGATCGCAAGAGGCCCGGTCAGTGTTGAATGGTGTTGAACACGGAGGCGACAACAACAACAACAACAGCAACAACAACAACAGCAACAACAACCACCTGCTTCATGAGGGCCTCCCTAGCGTCGTTCTGGGCCTTGAGCTGCGCGTCCCTCTGGTCCCAGATGCGAGACTCCGCCTCCTGTCTGATCTCATCGTACTGAGCCTCGTCTGCGGCCTCCTTGGCCATCTGCTCCTTGAGATACTCGTTGTACTGGCGCAGCACCTGCCGCCGTACAACGGGTGCAGCAACGAAAACCATGGGCATCACACATATGGAGGAGAAGGGGAAACGAGGTTAATCAAACATAGGTGGGGAGGGGAAACGAGGTTCATGAGGTCCAAGACAGGAACCAACTGATAAAATCGTGCTGTGCTGGGAAGTTGGTGTGTGCCTCCTTCATGTGTCTACTCGGAGCTGAACCTTGCTGAACACCGGTGAACAGCTTTCGATCGAAACCGGCAAACATGAAACAACAAAAATTGTATAGCTCTGATCGTGTAAAATGCAAGCAAGAACAAACACGGAGAAAATCGGGCATTGCCCCCCCATCTCTACGTTGCTACACCAAGATGCGAAAGGTGGCTCGAAAATTCAAAGAGATGAGGAACGCGATAAAGAGCACCCGACTTCCGGCGGTGTGCCTAACACAAGTATGAAATTACCGGCGCCCCTCCTAGAGATGGATCAAGGAACACACATGACAATGGTAATCAGCATTGTCCTCCCTCCCCCCCATATCGTCTCCTACCCTCTTTTCCTCCTCCTTCTTCGCCTTCTCCTCCGCCTCCCCGGCCTTGTCCTTCTCGATCGCGTACTCCAGCAACACCAGGTCCTGCTCGCGAGCCTGCTCCGCCGCCACCACACGCATCTCGCGCCTGGCCTCGTTGAAGTCTCGCACCTGCGGCCCCACGTAAAAAATCAACCAATCAGATCAGCCGGTGGTTGACCGAAGGAGCACACACGAGAGTACTGTAAAACGAACGCCCACACGTCGCGGTAAGAAGCGTCTCGGTCAAGGAAAGTAGAAAAGAACGAGAAAACTGAGCGAGGGCGGAGCCTAGCGTCTCAAGCATAACATGCAGCGTTATGCGGCTTACGTGAGAGGAAGTCTACTGGGGGGAGAGGTGCCTTATCCTGGGAGACGAAGGTCGGAAAATCATGTAGAACATCGTGCCTTCGGAGCCTCCTTGTGCAAGCTCGAAGGTTTCCCATTGAAACGCTCGCAGAGCCACACAACGAGAGACGTCCTGGAGAAGGTCTTTATGAGGAAACGGTCGCACGTGCTTCTATCTAGAGCAGCGGAGGTATCCCAGCCCTGTTTCGTGATGTCTGTACGCACAACAATACATGCGTGTGAGGTTCCCTCCCTTCAACCGCTCGTAATTCACGACGATAAATTGCAAGTGCGGTGATGTTGAAAATCGTCGCTGTGGGTATTATGGAGTGCCTCCGTCGTTCGTCTAGCCAGAAGCTCGATGATTTGAGGCGTAGTTTCCGTTTTGCAAGACCATTTATCGTATCGTCATATCGATCACCAGCGAGCAGGGATGCTTCCCAATAAGCGAAAAGGTGCCCATGATGACAAAACCCGTCACCTCCATTGCCTTACCACCAGAATGGATGTGTAACGTACACCCACCGCTTTACTTGTCTGCAGATGTGCCCGATCGATCGGCCGTAAGAATAAATCCACCCCCCGCATTTTCATCGCACACTGCTGTGCTCGAACAGGCACACTGCCAGCGAGGAACATCACAAGCGCTCTTGGGCCAAATGCAACAAGCACGACACCGAACCAATTGACCCGTGCCGCCTGGGAATCCTGGGCAACAACAACCACAGCAAAAATAAACCTTCGCGCGTACCTCTGCCCCGCGCGCGTGGGCCTCTTTCTTTTTCGCCTCCGCCCTCTCTTGCTCGGCCCTGACGATCGCCCTGAGCTCATTGAGCTCTTTCAGGTCGTCCCGAGCGGTCTGTTCCCACAGCTGTCGACGACGGTCGGCGTTGTACGCCACCTGCGTGTGTGTTGAAAAGGCGGGAATGTACAGTAGCGTGCTCGCGTTGTGATGCTGTTATGCAGTCGTTTTTCTTGGTCGATTTCTTTGCTGTTGTTGTTGTTGGTGGTGGCGGTGGTTGGTGCTGGCATGTTCAATAACCGCACCACCCTCGCGTACAATGAGGTGGCCACGGAAGGATGCAGAAACCACGGGTAATGCAAAGAGGCGGTGCTGGTCACATGGCCAAAATTGATACCATTGACTTGCTTGGTTTCGACAGACCATAAAGTAGCGCAGTTTCCTGACAAAATCGCCCTTGGCCCACTGAGCGCACATGTACGAGCCGGAGGGCCGCCACGTCGTGAGATGCGGGAGAGCGAAACAAACCAAAACTCCACACGAAAAGAAACTGTGTTCAAGCACGCCTCCCTACGACGAAACACCAACATACCGGTCGACGACTACTCGTATGCAACACGCCTCTGAGAATAGCCGGAACTCCCCCGGAGCGGAATTGACAAAAGAATCACTAAATTAAGGTCACCGACCTGCGTGTTGAGGTCGCTGCGCATGAGCTGGTTCCTCCTTTCCCTCTTTTCGTTGGCGGCTTTCTCCTGTGCTTCCAGGTAGGCGATGCGCTCGCGAATCTTTGCCATGTGCAACTCCTCTTGCCTTGCGTTCTCCTAAAGGACACCAAGGCAAACGCAAAGAAGAAAAAGAAAAAAGAAACATGAACAAGGAACAGGGGACGTGAAGCAGAGCAAGGCTCCACGCCAGAACAACGGGATTTCCGTAGAACAGGAATTGAAGGATCCAAACACGGACAACCTGTGCCTTGTCCGCTATCACGACGACTGTGTCGTGACGCAAGAGGTCGCCGTGGACCACAAGGGTCCACCAAAACACGTCGGCTGCGTCACCTAGCGTCAGCTTTATACCTCGACCGTCCGACGAATTATTTTTGTCGAAGGGCAAGTGCAGCAAGGACATTTCCCGTTGTGAGAAGGCATTTCTTTTCAAGAAAACGCGGACACCATCGGTTTGGCACCGAAAGCCGACAACAGTCATGACGCGCGAATAATGTCCGGTTGATGTGCAGCCCGGACCATGGAGATATCGGGTAGCGGCCAAGAGGGCCTTACGGGCGAAGACAGCAGCAACGGCGACAACAGCGACAGCAGCAGCTGCAACAGCAACGACAACAACAACGGCAGCAGCGGCAGCAACGACGACGACGACGACGACGACGCTAGCAAGAAGCACTTGCCTCCTCTCTTGCAGCCTTCTCCGCCACCTGCTCCCATCGCTGCGCTGTTACCCACTCCGTGTTCGCCTTCGAGTCGAGGGTGCGAGCGTCGTCGCAGGCATCGCGCCACTGGCGGTCGTAGCACTCCTGGACATAGTTACGCCTGTTGTTGCGATTGCGCCAACCGCGTGGAATCGTACGAGAGGGGGGAGCAACGAGAGAGGGAGAGGGAGGGAGAGAGAGAGAGACAGAGAGATTGATTAGAGTGAGAACCACTGATAGAGAGAGCAAGAAGGGGAGAGGGAACAGAAAAGAAAGTCAGTCAGAGAAAAAAGACAGAAGATGGCCGAGGGGGAGGGGGGGGGCAGGAGACACGACGACCAAGAAGCAGTTCGAAGTGCCGTTGTCTCACGAAAAAAGCATCGCAACGTTACCAATTTCCCCAAGCGACTCCCGAGGGGCGGGCAAAAGTGCTTCAACGCCTAATAGCCTATACCTTGCAGCCTCCCTGGCGTTCTTGAGCTTGGTGGCCTTCTCTAGGATGCGCGTTTTTCGCTCCTCCATGGTCTCCGCGCTATTGAGAATCTGTTCGCGGTCGGACGATGAGACGAGGGAACGCCGAAAGGCGATGATCGTAGATCAAGGCACTCTTAATTATGAAGCGCGGAAGTATCTGCTTGGTCCAGAGAGAGAGAGTGGGAGCACACTTAGCATACCAGACGTAATCTTACACCCTAAGTACGAGGAAAGGAAAGCAGCACGCGGGCTATCCTTGGACCAAAAATCATTTACCGCCTGGAGGCATGTACGTAGGTGCCAGTATATTGAGACATGCGTTTGGAGGACGAAAAGCAGGCGCCATCCCTCAGGTAAATAATCGTGGTATATTTTTGAGCCTTGTCTCCGTGCCGCGCTATACACAAGCGTCAGGTATCGAAGTTGAAACTCTGTCTGATTCTACGCGGACGTTTTGATGCATCGCGCAGGGCAAAAGAGCAAGAAGAGAACATCGGGCGGCACTCGTGCGAGGATGGTTGCGGGCACACCCTTCTTCGGCCCCGACGCAGAGAACCTACCGGCCACTCTTGCCACCATCACAAGTGTGCCCTAGACTACTATGCTGTATCCCACGACCAAAGTGCATGCCATTCAGATCCACTTTTTCCGCAAAAAAGTGAAAGTCATTCAGACCCAAAGAGAGCATCCTAAGGTAAGCACCTCGTGTTCCCACTGCTCCATCTCCCGGTTGTAAAGGTCGGCCACGCGGCGCCTCCGCGCCAGCAGCGCATCGGCGTCGGCTCCTTCCAAGCTCCGCACTCGATCCGCGCCCGCTCGAGAGGCGATCGCGCCGGCCGTCTTGTTTTCCCAGTTGGCGAACGCGATGACCTTGAGAGACGGGGTCGGGGACATCGGTTAGTTGCCCACGGAAAAATCGCGATGGAAGGCTGAGGCTGGTCGTGAGGGAAGACAGGGCCGGTTGGGGGGGGGGTGTACTCATAGTCGTGCATGCCGTAGTCGTTAGACCATTGACCTCGCATCCCTACAAAGTCGGGACGGAGCACGCCGGGTTCTCACCGGACCAGGCTCTCACATCACCAAGCGCGAAGCGCCGTGAGATATTCGGCGAGTCGCATGAAGGGTGCGCTGCATCCTGCTAAGGGTTTTCGGCATCTTGTGCTTACTTCCTTGCGTACGGATGACAGCTGCGTATGACTTAATTTATTTTCTGGTGCTTTCACTTCCAGAGACAGTTGTAAGCACTGTGTAACTGCCTCGAGGGTGCTTGACCATTTTAACACAACGTGGTGCGATCATCCCCCTTGCGCGGAGTGAGGGTTCTCCACCCCGCACAACATGATCTACTCGACCACAACTATGGTTACCGCCAAAAAAAAAAACGGAGGTAAAAAAACTAACGGTAACCTGGTTGCCGAGTTCACGAAGTGAATTGGCTTGTTTTACAACG